GGAAGGAGGGAAGAAGGAAAGGAAGGAAGGAAGGAGGGAAGGAGGGAAGGAGGGAAGGAAGGAGGAAAGGAGAATCCAGTCATTTGCAACAAAATGGAGGAATCTGGAAAATATGCTGAGTGAAATAAGCCAGTCCCAAAGGGACAAATATCATATGTTCTCCTTGATCTGTGACAACTAACTGAGCACCTAAAAGGAAACCTTTAGAAGTGAAACCAACACTATGAGAAACAATGACTTGATCAGTCCTTGTCCTGACTGTTGAGGAATAGCTTACTATTTTATTCTTCTTAGTATTTTCTTTTTCTACTTAATACCATTGGTTGAACTCTTTAATTAACACACAATTATTCTTAGGTGTTTATGCTCAACTAAAAATTGATCCCCATTAAAAATAAGAGTGGTAATAAGAGAGAGAGGAGATGTACAGTTTGGCACAAGCTCACTCAGACTTACCCCTAAGGGTAAAGCTAGAATGTGCCAGTTTTAAAGCTGAAATCTCACGTCTTCCAAACTTTTTTCATTTTACATAAACTGAGGCAAGTGGTCATCCTCATGATACATGACCAGATTCAGGTAATTGTTATTCAAAAAAAAATTTAATGTGGGCCGGCATCACAGCATGATCAGTAAAGCTGCCACCTGTGACACTGGCATCACTTATGAGCTCCGGATCATGTTCCTGATGTTCTATCTCTGATCCAGCTCCCTGTTAATGGTCTGGGAAAGCAGCAGAAGATGGTCCAAATGTGTGGGTCCCTGCTAACAGCATTGGAGACTGGGATGAAGCTCCTGGCTCCTGACTTCAGCCTGTTCCAGTGCTGCCTGTTGTGGCCAACTGGGTTGAGAAGGAGCAGAGGGAAGATATCTCTCTTTTTCTGTCTCTCCCTCTCTCTCTAACTCAACTTTCAAAATAAATAAATTATCTTTTAAACGAATACTTAATGAGTCTGTTAGATATACCTTTGCTAGAAATAGTTTTGAATGGATTATGTTTCAAATCAAGAAGTTGATGTTGACAAGGCCAAACATACAAAATATATGTCTTAATTTTATTTATAGTTTTATTTGAAAAACCAAAAAGAAAATCATGTCAAAAAAGAATTACTAGAGCAACATGCCAAGGAAAATAATTCTTATGAATATTATTATTATTATTATTAAGATGGCTATAAATAATAAGTGAATAACATTTATTTTCTGGAAATGAGGTTCTATACTTCATTGTCTCATGGATATTTCAAATTTAACATGTCCTAAAATAACTGCTGGTTTGATTTGATTTTTTTTCCTCAAATCAGTTTCCTTTGTTCCTCTAGTCCCATCCTCATGGTATATGATATGACCTCACCAGTAAACTCTCTCAAAGTCTGTGACATAGTCAAGAGTCCCATTTATTCCTCCCTATTCCTTTGTGCTAACTGCCATCAGCTAGTTCTTATTTTGTCATAAATGCATCTGGATCCACATCCTTCTATCCATCTCCACTCGCACTACCTTAGATCAAACTACTATTGTTCTTTTCCCAGATGGACAGCCCCTAATTATGTGCCTGCCACTCTTTCCAATTCTAAATATATTTAAGGAAACTTAAAACATACACAGGTACTTCAAAAAATGTGTATGAAAACAGGATTAAAAGATAAGTTTATTTTGCTGCAAAATATTTTGAATCCAAGCATAGTCTTTTTCTTTTTTTTCAAACATAGTGTTTTTCATAACACACATTTTCCTCATATGCATAGATTTCAAAAAATTTTTGTGCCAAAATAAATTTGTCTTTTAATTCCACTTCCCTACAACTTTTTTGAAATATCTTTGTACATTAGGCTTACTTATCTGTTTGACAGCCCTGCAACTATTTCCTAGTGCGATGATTTCCTAATCCAAGTTTCTAACCCCAGTCCCTAATAATATAGTTTTTAAAATTTGACTTTGCCTGTTGTTTCAGGCTCACTTCTTGCCTCCTTATTGACACACCACTGGCTTAACTCCCATGGATTATGCAAACAAGGCAAAGCTATTCATAGAGTTTCACACAAACGCTCTCGTTCCCACCAAAGTTTCTCCCTACTTTTGCTTCATAGAAATGTCTCCTGGTTAGAGATGCTGCACCTGATTATTCTATCCAGAATGCAACAGTTGCTTTCCTTCTAGTATATTTTGACTCTAATCATCTGCATATTTTCCTTTGTACTATTTTCAGTATATTCCAATTTAGGAACATAACCTCTATGAAGCCAAAGGCCAGAGATCCTCTTCGTATTTTTGTTCCTAACACCCTGAGCCAGGCCTATCACAAAATAGTTGTTAAGTTAGCATCCATTACAGAGTAGGCACTCCCTGGTGGTCTAGTGGTTAGGATACAGAGTAGGCACTTAATGAAGTTTATATGCTCTACACCTTGTATCGTTTAATCTTTAGAGCAGACACCATTAATGGTGCCATTTTACAGATTAAGAAACTGAAACTTAAAGAAGTTATGTAATTTGTGTTTTGTCACACAGCTAGAAAGTGGTAATTACAAAACTGAACCACATTACGCCTCTCCAGAGCCCAGGTTCTTACTGGCCCTGAGATTGTGCAGGGACCCCAGGCCCTGGGAAACTGGTACTGATAAATGTGAGCTTCAAAGACCTCTCCTGTGCCTGATAAGAAATCATAAAGTTATTTCTGTACTTTTCCCATTATTTCTATATTTGTTAGTTGGAATTCTAATATAAAGCAGTTTTTTAAAAGATTTATTTATTTATTTGAAAGTAAGAGTTGCACATAGAGAGAGGCAGAGAGAGAGAGAGAGAGAGAGAGAGAGAGAGTTCTTCCATCTGTTGGTTTACTCCCCGGATGGCTGCAACAGCCAGAGCTGCACCGATCCGAACCCAGGAACCAGGAGTTTCTTCCAGGTCTCCTGTGTGAGTGCAAGGGGCCCAAGGACTTGGGTCATCTTCTACTGCTTTCCCAGGCCATAGCAGAGAGCTGGATTGGAAGTAGAGTAGTTGGAACTCGAACCAGCGTCCATATGGGATGCCAGCACTGCAGGCAGCATCTCTACCCAATAAGCCACAGCGCCAGCCCCTACAAAGCAGTTTTATGCTACATATTTCATATGCTTCTTAGGTGAGTGGAATTGCTAAATAACAAGGATTATGAAACTCAGAGATTGTGAATAAACTTAACAAAAAATATCCTGAGAATATCAGACGGGGGAAAAACGGATACTTCTTCCTACTTTACCTCCCTGCCATAATTGATTAGGACACTTCCTCATGTCTAAGCAATATAGCAGCAATTGGTAATTGCTCTAATGCCTCTAGTAAGAAATAATGCCTTTTCTATTTGAATGAATTGTATTTGTTAGAAAGATGAGTAAATCTCCTTACACAGATACTATATTGAAACTTCCTGTTTGAGTCATAAAAGTCATGGGCTTACAGTAATTGTAGACATTTTGGTAGAATCACTGTAAGTGAAAATTTCCTTTGTCTGCCAGCACACTCTTCATGCCCCTGCCTAGATATCTCCTCCTGCAGGAAATTTTTTCTTACCTTTACCAGTAGCTCAGATTGGGGTCACATGCCCTTGTATTGTAGTTCTCCATTGTTTCCTGGTGCATCATCAGGGCTCAAAAGTATTTGTTCACGGACTTTTTAATTCACTCCTGGTCCATACATTAGTGTAAAAGCTACTAAACCCTGATGAGAGTCAGAAGTATGGGGGCAAGAGAACTATCCACTTTAGTATTTGCCCTAGAGTTGGTTTTATTCAGTGGCATATTGGGTAAAAATGGAACACTCTCTACACTCAGCTGTCAAAAGAGGCCCTGGTAATTTGCTACATGGCCAAATGCTGTCAAAATGCTCAGTTTCTCCTCTACTGAAATGTGGTAGCTAGGCAACTCCAATAACATTTGGAATTCAACCCACACAAATCTTATTCCAACACAGGAAAACGTGCCAAAACTAGCTGGTTTCCCTTAAGAGACACCCTCCCTGAGGCCATGAAGATGGGCCGGATGTCTGTGAAGCACTCTTTATAGCTACATACACCCAGCATGCACAGGTATAGTGCTTCATTGATTAACATTGCGACATAGAGTATTTGATAGAATATGTGAAAGGCTCAGGCATCCCAACTGCAAGATGAAATAAGAAGTAATTAATTGTGGCATTTGTATGAATTGATATTGCAACACAGTAAATTAAACAAAACAAGCAGTCATTTCAAGGGGATTTTTTGAAGCATGAAATACTTACTGTAAGACTGGGCCTATAAATAAAATGAAATAATAAATCAACTGTGTTAAGCATATAATTTGAAGAAAAAGTCCTCAGCAAATAACCTTACAGGTATTGATTTTAAGATGAACACAATTATAGCAAAAAGATTATTCAAACAGGAGTAGGTGTTGTGGAACAAAAGTTATGATCCCACTAAGAATATCCACATCCTATATTGGAGTGGATGGTTAGAGTCCTGGCTCCTCGATTTCTGATGCAACTTGCTACTAATGCACACCCTGGGAGGCACCAGTTAAGAATGCCAGAGTCCCGGGCACCACACGGAGATCTGGATGGAATCCTGGGCTCCAGCCCTTGGCCTGTCCAATCCAGGTTGTTTCAATTATCCAGGAAGTGAAGCACCAGATGGAAGATCTCCCTCTGTCTGACTCTGTCTGTCTCTGTGTGTCGCTCTAACATTTAAAGAAATGGAAAAATGTTAGAAAGATTATTCAGACCACCCATATATTTTTACAGATTCAAGTTAGCTAGAGATGGAATATACCCACTAAAGGAATCTGGACATCATTAACATCAACATGATTAGTTTGTTATAAATATGCAAAATAGATGATAACTGCTGAATATTTTGCTCCCTTGAAATTGCTCCATTATGAAGTGACTGGAGCTTCCATTGATTATTGTTATGTTTATGGCTATAAACATGTATATTAGTGTAACAAGAAGGTGTTAAGTATTAATAATTTTCATTCCCTAGTACAAACTATGATTTAATACATAATTACCAGGTCGTTCTTAAGCGCTTCTTGTTTAGATTTGTCTGCAAAAGTCTGCACAGACCTAAGCCCGTTGACGATGTCCTTCGTTTTCCCAAAGTAGATCTCATTCAGCATACTTCGGATTTTATTTTCCATGTCCTCTACCAGGCGCCCGATGTTGGCTATGTGTGGGGAGCAGTCACTCACAGTCTCATCTTTCTCCATCTGTCTGGTAAGGCTGCCTCCGAGGTTCATGGTACCCGAGCCGGATTTGTTGGTCTGCAGCCACAGCATCACCGTGGAAGTCAGCTTGTAGTGGGCGGTGCGGCCACTGGACTTCTCCTGCACTTCCACCACGTGGATGGACTCCCAGCAGCCTTTGATCTTCTTTGATCCACCTCCAGCCTTCTTTATGAGGATCACTCCCGCAAAGCCATGACCCAGATCCCAGAGGTAGACAGATGAGACACCACCTTCAAAATACAGGTCTCGGTACTGGTCAAAGGCATTGTTGGCTTCTAAACAAGAAGCGCTTAAGAACGACCTGGTGGAGGCTTTGAAGAGAAAGCAGCAGAGCTATGCCCCTGCTCCGCGGTAGCCGGACACGCCGCTCACTCTTTAGGTTCTTTTCCTAGAAAACTCGTTTTCTGCTCCCTGGCCCTGGCCTTTCCCTCTCTGACAGGCCCCTAACAACCCACATCCTCTACCGCACAGCGCCATCTCCCCGCATAAAGCCCAGTCACAGCCCTGCTCCGGCTCCGAGGCCTGCTTCCCACCGTTCCGCTGTCGGAACTCCGGTGTCTGCATAAAGCCCGCGAGGGCCCGGTCCGCCCCGCCCCGCCCCCCCCCATAGGCATAAAGACGCTGTCCGTCAGCCCCTCCCCTCCCCTCCCCCTTTTTGTTACATTGGTGTAAAAAATGTAAAAAAAAAATTTATGAAATAACTGTGGTGTGTGAGAGACAGAAGGAAACCTGGAGGTGCGACTCCAGTGCGTTTGGGAGTTACTTGGGGCGGAGGTCGGCGGACAGGGGCCAGCCCTGGGCGGAAGGAGAGGTGGCTCAGCCGTCCTGTGCAGGCTTGCCCCTGTCCCTCGGAGGCCGCGGGGTGGGGGCGGGGGCTGCTCCTCTGGCCAAGTGCTTTTCTGTCAATTTTTACGGAATGCAAAAGGAGTTTTTTGTTTTTGTTTGTTTGTTTGTTTGTTTTTGTAAAGCTTAACAAAAAATATCTACATCTTATACTTGAGCCTCCATACTTAAAAAAAGGAAAAAAAGAACAAAAAAATCAAATAAAAAGAAACTGGGACGCAGTTAAAAAAAATACATAATTACAACTTCCCAGTTGGTAAAGAAGAGTGATATGATGGTACTGGTTGATAAAAAATTCATTTTTCTTGGCCAGCGCCGCAGCTCACTAGGCTAATCCTCCGCCTGCGGCGCCAAAACTCTGAGTTCTAGTCCTGGCTGGGGCACCGGATTCTGTCCCAGTTGCTCCTCTTCCAGTCCAGCTCTCTGCTGTGGCCCGGGAAGGCAATGGAGGATGGCCCACTTGGTACTTGGGCCCTGCACATGGGAGACCAGGAGGAAGCACCTGGCTCCTGGCTTGTGATCAGCGCAGCGCACCTGCCGCAGCAGCCATTTTGGGGGTGAACCAATGGTAGGAAGACCTTTCACTCTGTCTCTCTCACTGTCTACTGTCTAACTCTGCCTGTCAAAAAAAAAAAAGAGAGAGAGAGAGAGAATTCATTTTTCCTAATTAATCATTAAGCAATTAAGTTAATCAAAATTTTCGACATCCCAATTTTTTCTGCTTGAAATAATAATTAACATTATAACATTTAATAATATTGTTGATTAACCAAGAGATGCTGTTTTATTTCTGACAGTATTTGTTTATACTTGTTCTTTCCCAAATGTATTCATAATTGAAACAACACAAGTGGTGTACTATCTTATTATTCTTAGTCTTTAAGGTACTTCTAGCCTGGGATTCACTCAATAAAACAAACATACCTCTATAAAATAGAATTACAGTATATTTCTAGAGTTCATAAAATATATAATTATAATGACAACTTCTGAAATATGTAATAAAATATCCAAGTGTTTAAGTAAAGATTCAATTCTTAGAAATTCTTCTCCAACTTATTCTTGAAAAATTAACAAACACAAAAGTTTTACTTAGCATATACTTCAGCTGGTTATAAACATATTTTGTGAAATCAGTTAATTCAGAAAAAAATATAGTGGTTAATTTACTAGATAGGAATTGGGGCATGTCTGTCAGTTATCTGACAGTGGGATCAGATTCAAGAAAAGTTTGGTGCCAAGTAATTGAAAAACTGCCTGAATGCATTTTGGGCTTTGATTTCAGAACAATTTTCAAGAAGCTCAACCACAGGCATTATGCAGTATCATGCTTGGAAAACAGGAAGCTGCCTTAAAGGGAATTTGTTACTGTCATTTCTAATCTATCTCAGACAGCTCAATCAAGGACAGACAAGGTGTTTTGCTGCGATGCAGCTGTATTGTACTGGAAAGCAAAATAGTCACAAGAATGGGCTATGTATTCTGGCTGTTCTGTGAACTAACACCATGTACAGCCTTGGGCAAGTCATTTAATGTATAACCTCAATTTTATCAATCCTTAAAAGGCTGTAAAAAATACTTGCTTCAAAGGCTGCAATAAGGTTCATATCAAATAATAAATGGAAAAGTGCTATTAAGTCTAAAAGACTCTATTTATCGAACAGAGGGTGGTTATTATCTCCTTACAATATCCTTGCTGTGGATTTAGAGAATTTATGACCTTGGATGCTGGGTTCTAAAGACCCCTTTAAGAACCTATAACCTTTTCATCTTGATTATAGATAGGAAAAAATAAACATCTAGAGAACACCCTAGGACTGATAAATGGTAAACATGACTCACTGGAATAATATTGGTTTATTCCTAACCTTTAAACTCTTTTATGCATCATGTACAGCAAACTAACCTGTAGAAGATTAAATACATTTATTGGTTGTTGGTCTGTCCTTCATTTAAGAGATGTGTTCTGAAATATTACGTACAAATTCCCTTACATTCAGCTATACTGCAAGTAAGTTACACTTAGATTAAAAATTTATCTTACTCTTTTATAGAACAAAGAATCCTGGGGCAGAAGTTTAGCCAGCAGTTAATATACTGGTCGAGATACTTGCATCCCGCCGGCGCCGTGACTCACTAGGCTAATCCTCTGCCTGTGGTGCCAGCACACTGGGTTCTAGTCCTGGTAGCTCCTCTTCCAGTCCAGCTCTCTGCTGTAGTCTGGGAGTGCAGTGGAGGATGGCCCAGGTCCTTGGGCCCTGCACCCGCATGGGAGACCAGGAGAAGCACCTGGCTCCTGGCTTTGGATCGGCGCAGCGCGCCAGCTGCAGCACACTGGCCATAGCGGCCATTGTGGGGGTGAATCAACAGCAAAAGGAAGACCTTTCTCTCTGTCTCTCTCTCTCTCACTGTCTAACTCTGCCTGGGTTCAATTGTCCACTCTGGCTTCAGTGTCCAACTTCTCATCAATGTAGGCCCTGGAGGCAGTGGTTATGGCTTAAGTAATCGGATTCCCATTACCCATATGGGAGACCTAGATTGAGTTCCCAGCTGGAACTAGATTGAGTTCCCAGTCCTGGACATTGCAGGCATTTTGGGAAGTGAACCAGCAGATAAAAGATCCCTGTCTATGTGCATCTTTCTGTCTTTCTTCCACTCAAATAAAGAATCCTTCAGAATTGAAACGTACAGTGGCATTGTGGTGTGCAGGTAAAGTCACCACCTGTGACACTGGCACTCCATATGGGCACTGTTTCAAGTCCTGGATGCTCCTCTTCTGATCCAGCTCTCTGCTATGGCCTGGGGAAGCAGTAGAAGTGCATGGGCCTAAGTGTATGGGCCTGCACCCACATGGGAGACCCAGAGAAGCTTTTGTCTCCTGGCTTCAAATTAGCCCAGCCCTGGCTGCTTTGGACATCTGGGGAGTGAGCCAGCAGATAGAAGAATTTTCTCTCTGTCTCTCTCTCTCTATGTCTGTAGTTCTATCTTTCAAATGAATGAATGAATGAATAAATCGTATTAAAATTTTTTTGAAACAATGATCTTATAAACTTGGACTTTTATATGCCTTCTGTTCTAAAAGTTGGAATATAAGTTTTTGTTAGACATTTTTTTGGGGTTGAAGGGGTAGGCGCTTCACCCATAAACTGGAAGAAGTACCTATATTGGACCAAAAGATGATACAAATGAAGAATTAAAACACTGTAAATTAAATATTTTTTATTGAACTCATTTTCTTAGGTGGCAAATTACTATATCTATACCTAGTCACTCATTTAACACTACCCTTCCCTTCAGCAAGTGGGGTCATAGTTATCCTCTCTGAGCCTCAGTATACTGGGACCTAAACAGCAGCATCTATATAATAGATGCTGCATCTGAACTTTTCATAGATTTCATGCTCCATGTGATTTTCTTGAGTTTCAGGATCTGGCTTTGGTCTCCTTGGTGTATGTATGTGTTATTACTTTTGTGGAATACTATATGACTAGCTAATACGGCTTACTATATGACAATCTCATCTATGTAGTCTCTAACTCCCAACATTTTCTTTATCCCTTGTCACTCCCCGTCTTCATGGAGGAACGACACAGGACCCTGCGTTGTTCTTTTGTCTGCTCGGCCCTCCCCGGGTTTTCTGCTGGTTCTTCCCGGGTTGGCTACTGTCCCTTCCACCTCCGTGGAAGGGCGGTTCCCCCTGCCACTTTCCCCACTTCCGCGGGGGAGCGGCACACCACCAGCTGGCTCTCTCGGGGGCTGCACAGGTGTTCCTTCAGATAGATGTTCCTCTAGATGTTCCTGGTGCATGTTGTCTCTCTCCTCCTTTATAGTCCTCTTCCGCCAATCCCAACTCTGCTACCCACACGCCGAGTACGCTGCTCTCCTCCAATCAGGAGCAGGTCCTACAGTTTATTGGTTGAACTGGAGGCAGCTGAGTAGAAGCTGTTTCCTCCTCTCCCAGCGCCATATTGTGGGAGAGCAGATGCATAGAATAAGTCTTAATTCCAGTAACTTAGTCTAGTCCGAGTTGCTCCCAGTTGCTCCCCACAATCCCTGACTTCAATACCTTCCCATTTAGCTCTGCTTAGAGGTAGGTAAGGACAGTATTCACTCCTTATTCAGAGCCAACTTTGGGATTACCTGGGCAGACTCTGGAACTTCCCAATGGCCCTGGAGAGTTTATAGTCTTGACTTTTTAAATGGATTTCCTAAGTCAAGTTTATTTGTAATTGAAAATGGCAGCAAGCCAACAAGAAACTAGGTAAGCTAAAATAAATAGACATGTATTGGAAGACTTATAACCACAAAGAGAACAAATACAGCTCAGGGTCAAATTGGGAATAGAAACTCCACTTTCTCCAGAACATACTAGATGTCTTCCGTCTGCATCTTGGCTGCATTTTCTTAGGAAATACTTTCCCATCAGCAGGAAACATTGAACCTGGCAACTTTATCTTCAGTCATTCAGGGTCATCATCAGAAAATGAGTGATCCATGCTCTTTTCTCAAATTAAAAAGCCAGGGAGAAGATCTCTTATTTTGGCCAGTTTAAATAATGGGTTCATTCCCAGAACAATCAACCTAAATCAGGCAGTAAGAGAGATCATTTTGGATTTATTTGTTCACTCTTAGACCAGGAAGTGTTTGAGAAAGATCATTTCCTAGAAGGAGAGGGTGACTGAGGACAAACCATGTTCCAAAGAAGTAAGTTAGAATTGTTGGATAGAAAAGGCAGTTCCATGCTCATGGGTTAGATATCTGGTTGGCATATTAAAAGGCTTTGTAGAAGAATTAACACTTTCTGAGTGCTAGCCAATTTTCAGAAATTTCTCCTAAAATCTCCATTTGCAACTCCTGTTCCAAATAATCCTGAAGTGGGATAATCATTTCCAGATAAAGAAATTAATACTCAGAGTTAATAAATAACTGCTTCCTGATAAAGCTATCAAGCACTGAGAACCCATACATATTTAATTGGAAAGAGAAAAATGTGTGAGATTGGCATGGATAGAATTCACGAGGATGATTGTGAGAAAATAGTGTTTGGTGTCTAGGT